CTAAATCAAGAGGTTGGAAAATAAAGAAGTTGGTTGCTTGCTTACCGTGCGGATACTCCAACCAGGAACACTTTGATAAACTAGTATTATTAACCAATCATATTGCGACATTTAGTTCAATATTTTTTAACCAGCCAATCAGATAGTGCATCAATATTATGAGAGCACAAGAACGTGATAATCTGATTGGCTAACGCTGTTATCAGTTCAATTTCTGTCTATTTACCGTTATCTGATTGGTCAGTTTTATTCAAGAGGTCCCAGTTACTGTAATGTGTGCCCACAGTATAAATTGTTGCAAAAACTATCAAACATAACGAAAAATCACTTTCAAATACCTATTTGTGTATTCAGAGCCTTCTTCAATACCAGGTAACAAGCCCAGTAAAAATCCAGGTAAACATGGTATCAACGCCTTCCCAAGCGACACGAAAAACTCCTCATAAATTCCCATCAACACTGGCTTCACAGACATTGCGGCATTTCCGAGCAATGGAAACAGCCCTGAGCTGTACAACAGCAAGTCCTGAGCAAGTCCTCGTTTGCCCAGCCGTCTAAAGATAAGTTCGTAGGTTTCCAGTGCCTTGAGGTGAACGCCGTTAGGGAGGGCGGGGTGGGTGCATTGTGATAGTCGCTTGGAGATGAGGATTTTTCGTGGGACTACTTTGAATTTTGGATGTGACTGTAGTACCTATAATAAAATGAGAATAAAATAAACTTGTTGTAATGAATGGATCAATCAATAGATGGACAAACAGACAAACATCAGTGAAATAGTGATATTGTAGCCTATGAAAGGGCCTTCTGGTTTTGGGGAGAAGGGAGAGGATTTCCAAGCTCCCCCGACCCCCAACTTGCACTGTAAATAATTTGACATTCTAATCAATCAATCCTAATTTTTCAACAATGATTCTAATTAGCTTTTCACTATTGTCAGTATTGTGCCATGCATCTTTAAAGAATACTGTACAACTGTTCCAAAAACATGTGGGTTTAAGGAGGCAGCATGGTCGAGTGGTCATAGCGTTGGTCTCACAATCTAGTGGTGCTGAGTTTGAGTCCTGCTGTGGCCACTAGCTGAGACTGTATTTATCCTGGTTTCTGATTAGTTCAAATTCAGTTTCTCGACCATGCTTGTAAATAGTCAACTGGTTTGCCTCCTTGCCAGTTGGGATTCTTAACACACTTTATGTTTCTTTGATTATTTCTTCGTTTCAGTTTCATTTCAGTGTCCCCAATTAGTTGCATAAACTAAATACATCGACACTCAAATAAAGTTATTTATTTATAGATCTGAATTGGGCGATATGAGATAAAATAATTTCTGTGCCTTTATGTTTTCTGGCTAAAATTGGAAAAAATCACATTTCTTACTCAAAGGACAAGCCTTATTTAATATTCCAATCTAAAAGGAAACTTACAGCATTTATACCAGGCCCATCACTGGGACATTGAAAGGGGAGGTTTGTTTTTCTACCAATCTTAGTTTAATATGCCATTACTTGAAAAACTAAAATAGCGCTAAACATTATTTCCTACTCCTAAAAAGATGGATGGGGGGTTTGTTGGAACCATCGAACCCCCCTAGCGGCAGGCCTGTATGCGAATATGATACAATTTAAGGTGCGTTACTTGGTCTCAGATTTCAGATTTCAGATGTCTGACCAGCAAGATTTTTCAAAATAGGTGTATCTTTAAAATATATTCACTATTTTGCTTTCTGAATTTTTACTTGTACAATAACTCCCTTTATCAACCTACTAATTATTGATTATTTTGACAGTTTTTTAAATATAACAATATATCCTTTCACTGTTAAATTTGGTATGGTAATTCTTCCAAGAATATCTAGTCGTTATGGCAACCATTTCATGAAGCCAAAATTTAAATTGGATTTGAATTTGTTTCTCAAAATAAAAACTGAGTTTTGATTCTTACGAAGATTGAAGCAAAACTTTTGGAAATAATATGCTATCTGACTAAACAAGAAAGCAATATGTTTGATCAAAAATAATATTACTAATCAAACTGATTTCCCATTTTAGACAATTTATGCTATTCTCTTGAAAATACAAACATCATTCCGTACATCCAACATATACGACTACCACACTACAGTAAATTACTCAAAATCTCATCTCTGATTGGCTGAGAGCATATAATATATAGTGGGGTTCTTCTATAGCGCATTTCAAATATCTCAATGCGCTTTTACATTTATAACCAGTGGAGGACTTTACAGGCAGCTTACAATCATGATTGTGAATTGTTAGTAGATAAGTATTATGCCTCCAAATTGGGATAGGCTGTTGAACCGGGAGACAATCCGCTACTCCTACATGAATAATTCAACAGGTTCCATTTACTGTAGGTTAGGAAGGGTTGGGAGACAGGGCCTACGGTTTTAAGTCCTTGTCCGAGAAGACTTGAAGGTCTAACCATTTGCAGATGTAATTCTCCTCTTCTCCTCAGTTATTTTAGGACCCTGAGTGTTGGTCCAGCCAAGGCTTGAACCACGACCTCCCGCACAACAGACCGACATTCTTACTAACTGAGCTAACCAGTTGGCCGTTAGTAAGTAAGTTATAAGTATTTATAATCATGAGAACATTCAGCCAATCACTGATAGCCTGTGAGTTTAACATGACAAATGTAAACATGTACTATCAGCAGGTTTTTCTGAATTATTAAATTCAGTTTTCACATGAGATTGTAAATTATCAAGACCTCAGCATATTTTCTCAAAAAAATCTAGCACTTTTGCACTAATTAGGGAAACGTTATTACTAACACACACTACCACTACATTTGATATTCTACCCACAGAACAGTTACAACTCCCATGTGGATTTTATGGAGGGAGAAAACCAGAGAACCAGGAGAAAACCCTCGTGGCATAGGAAAACAGAGTTCAAAGAAACTCAATTCACACATGGTCATCTGCAGGGCTTGCTCAAAACAGTGACCCAAACCTTTGGAAGCACAGTGGTGAAAGACGATGGGTTAGCAGCGTATGCCACCCATGTTATCCAAACATGGCCTCAGTTTTGATTATAATACACTTTCTCAGATAAGTTTTACCACAAAATAATAACAATAATAACAATAACTCTATAAAACATGAAATTATGCAATACAAAACGAAATTGCCTCGCGTCAAACAAAGTCTATTAGCCAATATTCAAAAGATGAATTAAATATCGAATTGTTATAGATTAACGGCTATAATAATTAAATGGCTATTTCTTCTAAGTGCTTCCAGTATTCAATATCAATACAGGAGCGAATAATTTCTCATAACAAAGACGCATTAAAGCTGTGCGTATAAATTTAAATGACAGATGTTTATAAACACAAACACGTCTTACCTTGTTAAGTTTGCCAAGTGAAGATATCAGGTCAGCCCACTCACTGGAATACTCAAAATTCTTCAATGCTTTATCCACAGCGTTTATAAATTGTCGATATTTGGAGTCAGAAAGGAGTTCCACTTCGTCAATATTCATGTCTGAGCTGAGAGTGGATCGATGCACAACGTAGTCAAATTATGGACAAAAAACGCTGCAAAACGCGTTGAAATACCAATCGTTTGCAGCCCTATATTCCTTCATATTCTTCGTAGTTCAACAGGAGGTAGTCAGCATGAAAATAAATAACCTTTAGGCTCTTTCGTTTTCAGAATTAGGAGCTAAATTCATTCATCCATCTCATTTGATATAAATATTCATGCAATTTTCCAAACGTAAATTACTTTTGATTTTGTTCTTCTTCCACAACACAGAAGTCCAGATGCAATATAGTCAATATATGATTAATTTTCAAACATATCCTTTAAAGAATCGTAGATAAATTCAGGAGAAAAATCATCTCCCATTTTCGAATGTTTGGTTTTCTTCGTACGAATGAGTAACCAGGCATCGAGCTTTAACACAGGAAACCCAACACACAATAACTTCAAAATATATTTCATTTCTGCAAATATTTTACGATATTTTTTTGTGCAATAAATTTTTGTTTATATATTTTTTTATAAAAAAAGATTCCAGAAAGTTTAAGATTAAAATCGAACTCAAAAAATATATGTTTCTTTAAAAAATATTTTACTCGCCTTAGGCCCCCTCTTGGTGGCCATATGTATACAGGAAACCCATAACATGAAATTTTTAATAAAATCTGTATTTAAGGACATATTCACGATATTTTTTACGGAATATTTTTGGTATGTAAATTGTCATTTAAAGATTAAAGAGAACTTTATATTAAACTTAATATATTAACTTTACATGATTTATATTTTAAAGAACTGCTGCTCACGTCCCAGGCCTCCTCGGACATTAATATACATTGAAATTTCTTCTCATTGAAACTTATAAAAATTCAAACTCTGGTCAAATAAAAGTTAAAATACTGTGGAATTTCAGTTAAACATCGAGAAATTATGGCTGAATCAGGACCGTCTAAGGTTAAGGGATCCAGTAGGATGAAAACAAGATCCGCTAGGACTCACGAGAAAGGTTATCACAGCCATCAAAACAGCCCAATACAAGAACATTCTTTCCTTACTGACAGAACAGACGTCAAAATAATGGAGAGAGAATTGCTTGGTTTAATGGACGACTTCCATAACGGGAAGCTTCATGCGTTTGGATCAGATTTTACCATCGATAAGATGGATAAAGTTCGGGATTTACAAGAGAGAGCGGCTCAGATGCATTTTCAGATGGATAGTACGGAGATGGAGAATGATGAAGAAGATGAAACCAAATGTGATAGAAATCTGGAAAGATTGATGAAGAATTTAGAGAATTTGAGCTCTACGATACAAAGCTTGCATAAAGGAGACTCGATGTTTAATTATTCTGCACAAGCTGGTGACTTAAACTTCGATAAAGCTTGACTTAATTAGCCAGTTTAGGTCGAAAAGTGAATTGTGAAGCACTGATATGGTTTTATTATAGAGCCTTATATTACTGTGCGACATAACCAACCAAGCTTTGACGCCACCCAGACAATTTTTCTTACAAATTAGCCAACCACGATTGGGTATTTAAACAAATCTGTACAAATTTTCACATTTTTTTGTTGAGAGTCATATATTTTACTTTATACATGTGTGTGTGTGTGATCAGAACTGAACAAGAAGCAGTTTAAAACCCAGAATCCACTAATTCATCTTTTATGCAGCATTAAGATGTGAGTTGGGGATTCGATTTGAAATTTGTTTGGGTGGCTTTGGTTGATGTAGTCCCCGGGGGGGGGGGGGGGGGGACTCCCATATATGGAATATGTGGGGATGATCCGCTGAACAGGGTATGGTTTTTCAAGCTTCTCATCATAAACAGGGTATGCAATTTCACTCAAGTTCCAAGTTCTTCGCGAGTTTCCTGTCATATTCAGGGTTTCTACTTTCGTATTGACCGAAACTGGTTATTATGGTCGTAAAAAAACGATATGTGAGATGACATGATAATTGAAACGGGAACTCAGTACAATTAATTATATCTTTTGTCATAAACAAGGTCCACAAATTTGAGGGTTTTTTATCATAAACAGGGTACCCCTTTCAGAATCCCAGCGGAACACCTCTACCCAAATTCTGGTGGAGTACCCCCCTTGGGTGTAGTCGCACTATAAGTGATTGAATTGGTAATATTTAAATTCTGAACTTTATGACACTGACTGATTATATCAGTTCAGGATCTTGAAGGCATGGTTGGGGGTGGGGAGGGTGGGGGGAGGAAGGCTTATCATTGTGCTTTTAAAAGTGATGCTAAACGATACATGATTGCACATGTTATGACAAGTTTAATGTTATTATAGATCAAACAGCAAACCAGCTAGATTATTCCTAGATTATTATAGTTAAAGGTGCTCATTCAGCAGGCTCATCATCAGGCATGGTTTGAAGGTGCAAACAAACCCCTTGTTTTATCCGTCTCTCTCTCCTTTTCAACATTGTCCCCTTTTCCAAAGTCCTGGTGATGGACCTACTTATGAACCATTGTATATAATGGTACAAATATCAGTTTTTGAATTTTGACATAATTATTCACGGAATGGATTATACATATTCAAATAATGATGTTTTTGAATGAATGTAAAATAAAATACTTGGTGTACAGTACATATGATATCATAAATTTTGAAGCTGAAAAAGGCAGAAGATTTTGATTGACAAGACTTTGTTAGAGCAGCTATATTACTCAGTTGTATATCACACCCTAAAACATCCTCTGAGCTGATTTAGGTCAGGGCATGGCTAAATCACAGATAGAACCCTGAAACAACCTCTGGGCTGATCTAAGTCAGGGCACGGTTAACTCACAGATAGAACCCTGAAACAACCTCTGGGCTGATCTAAGTCAGGGCATGGCTAACTCACAGATAGAACTCGGAAACAACCTCTGGGCTGATCTAAGTCAGGGCAYGGCTAACTCACCGATTGATACCCTAAAACAACCTCTGGGCTGATCTAAGTCAGGGCATGGCTAACTCACAGATGGAGTCCTGAAACAACCTCTGGGCTGATCTAAGTCTCTGCACA